ACCCCTGCGTACACGGCCCGGCACACCGTCTCGTCGCGATACATCATGCCGTAGAGCACGCCGTGCGGCTTCACATGGTTCAGCGGCATACCTTCAGCGTCCAGAAAGGCTTGTAAAGCCCCGACTTGGTACCGCGTTAGCGCGGTAAGTTCTTCGGGCGTCATGGAGATTTCGCGGCGCCCGAAGCCTTGGATGTCGGGGAGGCCTGGGTGCGCGCCTACGGCGATGTTGTGGGATTTGCAGAGGAGGATTGTGCGGTGCATTATTAGGGGGTCACTTGTGTTGCAGTTGTGTTAATTGGATGTAGAGTCTAAATTTTCCGAGGTGGTTGTTGATGGCTTTGTGGAGATAGAGATTGGGAGATGAAGGGTGGGATCTTAGAAAAGGGACTCACCCGGCGTGAAAGCCGCATGCTACGTTTGCATGGTCAATTAGTGGGATCAATTCCTCATCTGGTCCGCATTTGAAATTTCCGTATCCTTCGCCTAGATCGACGTTGAGTTTAACGGGGTGCTTGATCGCTGGCATTGTTGCGTGATACTTAGCCTAGTTTCTTGGGTAAAAAAAAGGTTCGAGGTATGTACAACAAAACGTATGATAGGTAGTACACACAGTCAAGTAAAGTAATATAAATTAAACATTCTCGATAACTATCTTAACACTATCACCCTACAAGTGTCTCCACTCTTACTCCACTCACCCGTCACACCCGCAGCGTCATTGTCTCCAAACTTTGTTATCGACCCCGCTTCTCTGTTGTACGTGCCCCGCTGACGTAGGCATCCCGTGTCTCCTCGACAATACCCAATGCAGCCATGTGCGGCGTGTACCGCGCGCCAACTGCAAAAGGGGTTGTCTCCAACTACGGGAGGGGGTTGAGGGTCTCCCGCAGACACGGAGGTAGGCGGAAGGGGAAGGCGGGGTTTCTTGGAGATAGGTACGGTGCAGATGGTGAATGGGGCTCCAACAATGCGATGTCGATAAAATGGTCCCCATCCTCGCGAAGGATAACATGATGCAACATTTGTAAAGTTTTGAGTAATTATTTAATGGTTTTTGTATAAGATGGAGAAACTGAAGACGTTGCTTATTGCGAATCGTGGTGAGATCGTGGTATGTATCATGGAGAGTAACAGCATTTACAACCGGCGCAAGGATTCTGGGTTTTATTGATAAAAAGATAAACTGACTTGACGTGATTTTGTGATATAGGTCCGCATCTGTAAGACTGCGAAGAAGCTCAATATCAAGACTATCGCCATCTACTCCGAGGCCGACGCTGCGTCACAGCATGTGCGGGATGCAGATGAAGCAGTACTACTTCCAGGCAGCAATGCAACAGCGTATACAGACGCAGATGCAGTGTTGAAAATAGCAAAAGACAAGGGTGCAGATGCCATCATCCCAGGCTACGGATTTCTATCAGAAAATGCGGATTTCGCGCGACTTGTTGGCGAGGCGGGGATTGCGTGGGTGGGACCATCGCCTGAGGCGATTGAAGCGTTTGGCGTCAAGCATACTGCGAGGGAACTTGCAGAGGCGGCGAACGTACCCATTGTACCTGGCACGAAGGGGCTGGTTGAAAATGAAGAAGAGGCTGCGAAGGAAGCTGAGCGTATTGGGTTTCCCGTTATGCTCAAGGCAACGGGGGGAGGTGGCGGTATGGGACTTATCACGTGCAACAAGGTCGAGGAGGTGCGGGATGGATTTCGCATGGTTCAATCAAGAGGAAAAACGCTGTTTAAGAATCCTGGTGTCTTTATCGAGGCCTTTTACCCGGCCAGCCATCATATCGAAGTCCAGGTCTTTGGCAACGGTCAGGGTCAAGCGATACATTTTGGGGAGCGAGAATGCTCCATCCAGCGCCGTCACCAAAAGGTTATTGAAGAGTGTCCGAGTCCTTTTGTCGAGAGACAGCCCGAGTTGCGCAAGAAGCTGGGTGATGCTGCTGTGCGGCTTGCGGAGTCTATCAAGTATGGGTCTGCGGGCACGATTGAGTATTTGGTTGATGACAAGTCTGGTGACTTTTTCTTCCTGGAAATGAACACGAGATTGCAGGTCGAACATGGCATTACGGAGCTATGCTACAACGTTGACTTGGTCGAGCTCATGCTTAAGCAGGCGGATGCACAGCTTGCTGGGAGACATGGGTTGGATGGCAAGACATTGAAAGATATGCAGCCTGTGGGCCCTTCTGGAACGGCTATTGAGGCGAGAATATATGCTGAGAATCCGCTTAGAGATTATGCTCCTTCGCCTGGCTTGCTGCAGAAGGTTCAGTGGAAGGATGTCCCTGGTGGGCGCATTGATACGTGGGTGTTTACAGGCGTGAGGATTACGCCGAATTATGGTATGTTCGCATATGTGATACCACGCGTTCTAGATTCAGACTGAATCATAAACTGACGATTCACAGACCCCCTCATAGCCAAGGCAATGGTTCATTCTTCCTCCCGGGACGACGCAATAGCTTCGATGAAAGATCTCCTGACGCAATCCCTTATAAGCGGACCACCAACCAACCTCGAATTCCTAGCCTGTATCCTGGAAGATGCCCGGTTCAAAAACGGCAACACAATGACTAGTTTCCTTAAGGAATTCACCTACACACCTCATGCCATTGACGTGATATCAGCGGGTGCATACACTCTTATCCAAGACCTTCCGGCGAGACCAACAGTCGGCAAAGGCGTACCTCATTCCGGACCAATGGATCCAATAGCCTTCCAAATCGCAAACATGCTCGTAGGAAATCCTCGGACAAAAGAAGCCCTAGAACTCACTTTGACGGGACCCGAGCTGCGATTCGTAGGTCCGGCCATTGTAGCTCTGTGTGGTGCACCAATGGAAGCGACCCTGGACGACAACGAATTTCCCATGTGGACAAGCGTGAAGATTGAGGTTGGACAGAAACTCAAGATTGGAAAGACAACTGGCGGTGGATGCCGCTCTTATCTAGCAATCTACGGCGGGTTTCCGTCAGTGGCAGATTACTTCGGCTCGAAATCTACGTCGCCGCTTGTTGCTATCGGGGGATATCAGGGACGCGCACTTGCACCGGGTGACTTACTGCAAATAGCAGACAAAATCCCAGAGGCATTTAGAAGTATATCACTTCCTGAGCATCTCCGGCCAGTGTACAAGTCGAAATGGGAGATTAGGGCCATGGTTGGTCCACATGACGAAGGCTATTTCGATCCGAAATTCATTGAGCAAATCTACAGTACCGAGTGGAAGGTTTCCCACAACGCTTCTCGAAGCGGTATTCGTCTGGTAGGCCCAGTGCCAAAATGGGCGCGTAAAGATGGTGGCCAGGGTGGTGCCCATCCGAGTAATTTGATTGAATACGGATATCCGCTCGGTACTTTGAACTGGACAGGAGACGACCCATGTATTTTCCCGGTCGATTGTCCAAACTTTGGTGGCTTCACGAGTAGCACGACAATCATCAGAGCAGACTGGTGGAAATTGGGACAGCTCAAGGCAGGAAATACTATTCGGTATGTTCGAGTTGGGCTTGAAGATGCGTTGAAGAAGCGAAAGTGGAACGATGACTTCCTGGCTTCTGTTGAAAACGCTATCAAGAACGGAGGCACGTTCCAGGGCATCGATAAGCTTCAAGGCGCGCATTGCGACTTCCATATGGGTGACATTGGAAAAGCTGTGATATGGGAAAAGCCAGAGGACGCCAGCACTCCTCAAGTCAGATATCGTCAAGGAGGAGATGACCACATTTTGGTCGAGTACGGAAACGAGAATTTTGATCTCAACCACCGATGTCGTGTCACAGCTTTGGAAAACGCCATCCGGTCTGAGTCGACTCCAGAGAGCATCAGATCCAATCTCTTCAACACAGTCGGATGCTGCACTTCCCTTCTTCTTTTCTACGACGGCTCCAAAATCCCTCGAGCAGATCTAATCGCCCACCTCCAATCCATCGAGTCCCAACTCGGCGACCTTCGAAGCACAAAAGTCCCCACTCGCGTTTTCAAACTCCCCATCTCATTCGAATCCAAACTCCAAGACGAAGCAACACAGCGCTACATGACCAACCAACGCCCACACGCCCCTTACCTCCCCGATAACCTCGCCTTTGTAGCAAAAAACAACGCTCTAACCCCCCAGCAACTCAAGCAGCTCTACCTCACAGGCCAATTCATGGCCGTCGTCGTCGGCTTCTTTTGCGGCAACACCGTTTCCCTACCCGTCGACCCCCGCCACCGCATCTCCGCACCCAAGATGAACCCCAGCCGCGTCTTCACCCCCGAAGGCACCGTCGGCTGGGCCGGAAGCTGCATGTCCATCTACCCCGTCGACTCACCCGGCGGCTACCAAATGACTGGACGCACAGTCCCCTGCTGGGACTACTACTCCTACAAGCCCGGGTTCGACGGCAAGCCCTGGATCTTCCGCGACTTTGACATTCTCACTTTCTACCAAGTTAGCGAGCAGGAGCTGGATGAGCTACTAGGACGGTTTCGCGCGGGAAAGTACGAGTGGGAGTATGAAGAGGTCAGATTTGATATGGCGGGGCATAATAAGGTGTTGGAGACGACGAGGGAGGAGGTTAGGGTGATTAGGGAGAGGCAGGCGGAGGCGCAGGAGGAGATGAACAAGGCGGAGCAGGAGAGTTTGGAGAGGTGGAGAAGGGAAAAGGCAGAAAGTGGGGTTGATGAGGGGACGGTGGAGAAGCTGCTGGATAACCCCGATATTGTGGGTGTGGAGGCGCCGGTTGATGCTAATGTGTGGAAGGTGGAGGTTAAGGAGGGGGACTTGGTTGGGGAGGCGACGGTGGTAAGTTATAGTCCATTCTTCTGTCTTGTTTGGATATGTGAACGCTGTGCTAATGAGAACACTAGATTGTCATTCTCGAAGCGATGAAATTGGAAATCGCAGTTAAGACACCCGAGTCTGTGGCTAAAGCGGGGAAGATCAAGGTCGAAAAGGTACTCGTGAAGCCGGGTGATACAGTAAGTGCGGGCGGGCATTTGGCGTTGTTGAGAAAGGAGTGAGACATGTACATGCAGTTTATCGAGCTCTTTATTTCTTATTGTGATTGGCAGGTGATCATACTTAGTTTCCTACACTCCCCCACTCACTCTCAGGATAAACCCTCTTAACCTTGTACCATCCCACCTCCGCCTTCTGCACACTCCCCATTACCTTCTTTGCCCACTCCGTACCCACGCTCTCCTCAATCTGCTTCCATGGCAGCGCCTCACCCCCAAATTCATGCAGCGCGTAGTACTTTGGCACGATCTGCATGTCATCCGAGGGCTGAAGCTGTTTGATCGTGTACGCGGTCTTGACCTCGTAGCGCCGCGAACGGATGAAGCCTGGCATGCGGGAGAGCAGGGGGATATGCTCTTCGCGGTACCATTTGTCGAAGTCGGTGGTGGAAGCAATGTCAGAAGGCGGCTCAAGAGCGCCTGAAATGATGAATTTCGCGGGGCCTAAACATACACTTAGAATTGTGGTTCTTTCTTCTTGTGTTTCCACAAATGCTGCTATTTTTCTGTTTTTTTTTCTCGCGTGAGATCAGGTAAGATTGAGAAAAGACGTACCATTCTCCTTGGCCTTCTCTCCCTCAAAACGCTGCACTTCCTCATAGAATCGAATAGCAAACTGGGTGTTCATGTAGATAGTGTCAATCTCCGCTTGGGTCGGCGGATTGCGTTGAGACATGTTCTTGAAGCCGTCCGATTCGCGAAAGCCAACCATATCTGGGAGTTCGTATACGACCTATGATTACTTAACACCAAATCCCTAAAGATTAAAAGGATTTTCATGTCATGTTTTGTATGAGGAACATTTCGCATGGCTGCTTGTCATATTTTCGTGTGTAACACAGTAAACGGAATCACCAAAAGGTCAATTCGGAAAAGAATGAAATGAACTCACCAACCAAGGCATATCCCCACTATACGTCCTCTCTTCACCTCCATCCTTTACCGGCCGCTCCACAGCTTGGTACTTGACTGCAGCCACAGCACCAGGTAATACGAGGACATCTTTGATATGTTTCTAGACAGCACGCCCCAGCGTTAGCTTCTCAACTCCAGTCTGTTTACCCATCCTTTCCTTCACCCAATCCAAACTCGCAACAATCAGAGAAAAGAAAAACCCCGAGAAAGTGTGTGTGTAGGAAGAACAAAAAAGAAATCATACATTCTCATACCAGTCCGAATACTTATCCACCGAAAGCCTCTCCGGATGCGTGATCCGTGACGACGCCCACATGATACCCGGAGGACCCATAGTTCCCTAAATCTTCCCCTTTCTCTTTATTTAATCTCTTCCGCGTGGACACAAAAAATCGAGGTATATACCTATCACAATACCGAGTAATATGGGAAAGCTTTGACACAGCAACAAACTCCAGACACGGTGGACTTTGAGGGAAAACGGCAATTACCCCGCATACTAGCGTGGCAAAAGCCACGTCCGCTGTCTGAAACCTAGGGCGGGTTTTTTTTTGTCTAACTCAGAAGAATGTCAAGTGGACGGGGGAGGGGGCTGGGATTCGCGGGCGACATGGGGGGTGGGTGGGCGTGTGTAGAGACAAAACGGGTTGGTGAGTTGACCAGCTTTGTGGAAACACGTAGCTGAAGGGCACTACACTACTATTGCGGTAATTGCGGCTTTCACACTTTGTTTCCCTCCCTCAAAAAGAACACTCCAATGTAGTGATGATTTCCCTCGAAAACTAGAAACACTCAACGATTTGATTTGAAGCAAGTAAAAAACCAGACCATCGAATTTGCTTGTAAAATACTTCTACTCGTTTTGTGAACCCTTCCACCCCTCCCCCCCCTCCCGCCAAGACACAACCCCCTTCTTGCTTCCCCCCGCTTTGTGATGTTTTAAACCCGAAATAAAAATCAGTTGGGTATCGGGCCGATATTGAAACAAGAACATAGAAGAAAAAAACAAGCCGTTGCCAATCCACATCACTGTTGGCGATATGGAAGAAAAAAAAATCTCGGGAGCCAATGATAAGTCTTCCTCACCCGATCCTTGCTCCAACCCCGCCTTTAACTTACTACACCTCCAAGAAAACGAACCACCACAACAACAAAAAAAACAATCCAAAGACAGTGAACAACAACAACAACAACAAAAAAGAAGAAACAGATGATTTCGCTGAATCGCTTACTTCAAATTAAAGCTGCGTTCGATCCTCAACTATCCTTTTTTCTTTTAAAAAAAATCCCCTCCTACCCTTCCTTCCCGACTTCCCTTACTTCCACAAACCGGCAATGGATTGTCTTTGTCCCCCAAAGAAAAGAGCGAAAAAAAACTTCAAGCACAATCCCCCCTTAGTCTAATATGATACAAATGGTCTCTTTGTCTCTTTCTTCGTCTCTCTCTCTCTTTCCTTCGATAAGAAAAAAAAAGGGACAAAAGTGTTGTAAAGGAAGAGTAGTATGAATGAAGTGAACCTCCTCCGCCCCCTCCCAGACCCCCCCTTTCCATTGCCATTGCCATCACCAATCCGCGGCTCGACCGAGGCAACAGTGTTATGCATTGCCTGGCTCGATTTCTCTTTTTTCTCTTTCTCTCTCTGGGTTTTAGGCTCGAGACTGCGGAGTAGCCTCGATTGAGTGCAGTGGCGCCGGTTACAGCGCAGATGAACTGCGTAAACGTCTGCCGCTGCTTCATTAGGTACTCGTGTGTTCGAGAACAGAGACTTGACGCCGAATTTATTTCACTGATTATATCGCTGCGTCTAGATCTTTTCGGAGCGTGGGACCTCAAGAGACTGCTTTGCGTTTCCGGTTTGCCAAAAGTCCAGGCTGGCAATGACATCGGTGCCGAATTCATCCTCGTATGAGTATAGGATCTGGATTTGTTAGTTTTCATTTCCGCAGTCATCCATGCATCGAAATAACGTACCTCTCTTGTTGATGTATGTAGCCACCTAATGTTCTTCCCAGTGATGATATGCACAAGGCCACCACTCTCCATATGTCGAATCTCAATAAAGCTAGGCTCGAAAGCAAGGATGTATGGGTTGAAGATGGCAAAGGCTTGCGGTGTACCCTCCCAGGTGATCTTCCAGTCTGGTCGTGCTCGCCAACCGTTACGGTTGACAAAGAATGAGTAGTCCGTGTAGCACAACAAGAACTCGCTTGCCATGCGCTCAATGTGAATTGGCTTGATGTTCTCCTTCCGCACAACAAAGTCGAGGGATGTGTCGGCCTGGTCAAGGAGTGACTGTGTTTCGAGTGTTTCCAGACTGACGACTTCAAAGCCACGTGCGCAACCAACGCAGAGCTTGGAACGCAAGAAATGAATGGACGTCGACTCGGTAGGAATGTAAAATTCTTTGTAGGGCTTGAGTTGATCGGCGCCACCTGTGGATAGCATCATCTTTGCGAAACCAGACTTCTTGTTCTTGTTGCCCATCTGCTCCTTGGGTTCGTATACCTTGATTGTAGTCGACAGCGCCGACGTCTTGACCGCAGCGACCAGTTGTTGGCCCAGGCAAATGCCAGCCTTGAAGAAGTTGGCATGGCAAATCTTTCGGGGACGCTTGGCCATGGCCTGCGACTCGTCGGGCTCCAGGGCATCGGTCGAGTAGGAGTATAGAGTTTTGTCGGCCAAGACCAGCACAATGGCATGTTGCTCGAGAACTTCGATCTGGGTAACACCCTTGCAGTCCAGTACACGACGAGGACGAATCGAGGCATCCTTTGGCTTGCGCTCCACAACAAATACACCATTGTCCGTTCCAAGGGCCAGTTTGCGACCACCATCTGCATCGTGTTAGCATTTGACTTGATCAAAATTGAAATGTACTGACCCAGAGGAACAGCGCAGGTAACCCTGATAGTAGTAGGAGAGTTAAGAGAGAAGGGACCCTCGTGGACAATAGTCTTGGTGAAGATGTTGCTGCGTTCCCTCAGACTTCGCTGCTGTGAATCAATGTGCTCCATCCATTTTTGCTGGGAAATTGGCGTGCTCGCAAAGAGAGTCAATTCATATCCACCCTTTCCAAGATGTTTAAAAGTAATGGGATAGCCTTGCTGCTTCGGGTCGTTGTTCTTTGGGGTTGCCGCAGCAATGGCCTTGCCAGCAATCAAGTTTGCTGAAGGCCTCTTTGCGATACCCAGCTTAGGGTTGACTTCCTCCATTTGCGTAATGACCAAAAGTTCCAGAGGTATTGGCTTCTTGTAGACCTTTTGCTCCTCACGCTTGTTCACAGTCTTCGCACGTACCAACAGAACAGCATGGTCAAAGAGGTAGCATGTAATATCGCCAGTGGCCTCGGTCGGCGTCTTCTTCAACGTGCCCTTGAATACCAACTGTCGATTCTCGTCCGTCAACTTTAAATCGACAAACTCACCAGGCCTGAACTTGAGATCCTTGTTGAGCTGCATGAGGTTGAAGTGGTTTTCTGCCTTGCCGGACTCGATATTGACCTTTGACAGCGTGTCTTTGATGATGCTAATCACCTTGGGAATATCTTCTTTGTCCGGGTTATCGTCCGCGGTGTACTTGGCAATGTTCTCTAAAAGCAGCGGATATCTGGCCAGCCTCGTGGTTGGCTTAGTAAGGTAACCGTTAAGCTCCAGCTTTCTTGATTCCTTCATCCTCTCGACTTCGTCGACGAACTTGGCAAAAGCTGTGTTGGTGCGCTTTTCATGCTCAAACTCGTACTTACCGAAGAGCTGGTTAGCACCGTACTTGATGAATGGCGCAAAATGAGGTACAAATTCCAGGAAGATGTCTCCAATGTTTCGGACAACGGCCTCCTTTTGCTGGCGTCTAGTAAGTTGCTCAGCCATGCGGGAATTGACCATGTAGACCTCTTGACAATTGGAAAAGACGGTACGGACAAACTTTTCGCGGCGGTGCTCGGGAATTGGTGATGTTGCGGGGTTACGCAAGGGCTTCATCCAGAAGTCTCTAAGGTACTCGAGATCCTTGACGAAATCGCGCTCAGTGTACATGAGCTCGGAAATAACCTCTTGTCGCTTCTGCTCCTTCTCCGATACACTATCCGAAATCTCTTTTGGTACGGTGTTGATCCACAGCTTCTGCTCTTCTTGGTCTTTTTCCTCGTGCAAACTTGCTCTGGACTCCTCGCGCTTCAGACCGGGTTGGATGCGCATGTTGAGACGGGCTTGCTGCTCCAGACGGCGTGGGCATGCAATTGAGTAGCACAGACGGTCACGTGTACATGTTGGAGAGTAGCACTCGGTCAACAGAGTGAAGACTCCGTTGATTTCAGACTTGTCCTCCACCATGGTCTCACGGAACTGGTATATCTCGTTTGTCGAATCTCGCAAGCGGTGCGCGTACGTAACATCGTGGAAGAACTTTTGCGCGTCAAGGGACCGGCCCAACAGGAGCGCTAGATTACGGTCGGTAGTTTTGATAATGAAAGAGATGAGATCAACTGCATCTGCACCCGTAAAAGCACTCTTGTACACAAGGCCATCCTTTTCCTTTTCAGAAAGAACCACTCGATCTTGGAAGGTATCGGCAACGCGAGATAGCAGGGCAGGGTAGACCAAAGGTGCCCGTCGCTGAGCAGCAGGCACTTGTTGCGCGGGAACAAGAGAAGTCATGGACTGGTTGGAGGTCCTGTTGTTGCTGGAGTTACTTCCGAGTGTTTGGGACGAGTCTGGACGAGAGCTAATGGACGTCATGGTGCTGGTACGCTCTGAAGGAGGCACAATTGTGGATGCCATGGACATTGAGCGCGATTGATTCGGCATGCTTCCTTGGCTCACGCTTCGAGGATTGAGCGGCAGTCCCATGGTTGGGTGTTGGGGGTGGCCGTGCGGTCCACTTGACATTTCAGATTCACCAGATTCTCGCCTTCGACTTGGTATAATTCTGCCGCTCATTGTCTGCGTATGCTCGGGATCCCTTGTGTACGAGGTCATGGACATTGTCCGCTCATCGGGCCGCTCTGGCACCACGCGTCCTTGTGCTGTGGTCCTGGCCATGTGGTTCATGTAGGGCTGCTGACGGAACGTGTTTGCGGGGGACGGATGAGATGGCCCACCAGGGTTGAACTGTGGCCGCGGGTTCAAGGCAAGCGACTGTGAACGGTAAGGGTCCGAATTCATTGCAGGGCCTGGACCGCCAGGGAAGCGATTGGGAATAGGCTTGTTGTAAGGGGGCTGGCCAGGAGGAGAGATGCGGGAGTCGAAGCGCTGGGGCTGGCCGTATGGCTGGCGTTCAGGGCGAAGGGGCTGCGGCAGGTACTGAGGCTGCGGCTGGCGCTGCTGCTGCTGCTGCTGCTGCTGTTGCCCGTCAGGATATCGCGGGTGCTGACCGTAGCCGTTTGGCATAGGGCGATTGTAAGCATTCGGCGGATCTATGGGGCGCTGCTCTCCGAGACTTGGTCCCGTGCGCTGATCGTACTGTGGGTGAGGACGACGATCGTAGCCGTTGACGGGCTGACGAATTGGCGGGGCGCGCTGCATCATGTCGGCCGTCTGGCTGGACATTGTGGCAGCGCGGTCGGGGATGTTCCTGTGCGACTGCGACGTCATGGTCTGGGAGCGACCGGCCATGGACGGGCTGGCGCCGAAGATGTTTGTGAAGGCGGTTTCCCTTGCGCCCGAGGGCTGGCCATGGTTCTGGCCGCGCGCATAGTCCGGCCGCTGCTGGTTGCCGTAGTCGGCCATGTCTCTTCAGTCCACAGGGGATCTAGGCTGTCGCGAGCATTCGCAGTGCTGCTGGGGCGAGGCGGTGGACGTGGGCGGGCGGTGGGCGTGGGCGAGGGCTTTTTGATACAAGGGATTCGGCGGCGTGGCCGGGGCAGCAGAGCCGGCACGACGAGGGCGCACGAGTCGAGGCGACTGGCGGGCAGGGCGGCGAGTCACGCCTGTTGTTTTCCACCTGAACGAGGGCGTGCGGGCTCAGAGGGCGGGTGTGGGCGTGGGCAGGGCGGCGGGGTGTTGCAGAGAAGGGTCAACAGGGCCACCGCTCCGGCAGTTGAGGGAACAAGCCGCCCAGCGAGGGGGGAGGGGGAGGCAGCGGGTGCGAGGAGCCCGTGGTCAGGATGAAGACGGCGGCAGCTGGCGAGTGGGTGTGGCGCGGGCAGGATGGGGGGTGCAGGTCGACTATGGGGTAGCGTTGGCTGAGGGGGGAGGGGGGCGCTGGCCGGCTTTCCTCGCAGCTCGCGACGTTGGGGAGAATGGCGGTGGTGCAGGTGTTGGACCGACATACGCTTGGCATCCAGAGCCCGCCTCACCAACCGCCTGGCCGCATCCCAGCTGTCTCCGACGACGCCTCCACCACCACGACCCACGCCCACACAACCCTCCATCCATCCCCCTCTGTCGCGAGCATCACAGGCACCATGTCTTCCAACGAGCTCGCCCCGAGCTTCGCGCCTTTCTTTGGCATGGTGAGTGTCCCCGGCCGCGCCCCGTATCATGACTTCATAGCTAACAGGCACGCAGAGCGGAATCGCGTTTGCAGTGAGTAGCTCCTCGTGCCCCTTGCAGCGGGCCAACTAATGTGCCAACCCTGCCCAGATGATCTTTGGATGTATGCCACCCCCCACGACGCGTAGCCAAGCTGCACAGGAGCTAATGGAAGCAGGCGCCGGAGCTGCCTATGGCACCGCCAAAGCTGGCATCGGCATTGCTGGTATCGGAACATACAGGCCAGACCTGATCATGAAGGTGCGCGGCCCTGCACTGCGCATACACAGCTCCATCTAACCTAGCCAGTCGCTCATCCCCATTGTCATGTCGGGTATCTTGGCCGTCTACTCACTCGTCATATCCGTCCTCATCGCCAGCGACATCAAGCCCCCGCCCAACAACACGTACTCGCTGTACGCTGGATTCATGCACATGGCTGCTGGATTGTCAGTTGGTCTGTCGGGTCTGGCTGCAGGATACGCTATCGGGATTGTGGGCGACGCTGTATGTCGAGTCGTTCAGAGAAGGCGGAAAAGAGAGAGAGAAAGGCTAACTGCAGCAGGGCGTGCGCTCCTTTATGAGCCAATCGCGAATCTTTGTCGGCATGGTGCTCATTCTCATTTTCGCAGAAGTCTTGGGTCTTTACGGGTACGTCTCCCAAGGCAGAACACGCCAACGTGGTCCGCGCGCGCGACAAGGACGGCGCTATGCAGACTGCACGACGACTGCTCATGTGCTGACTCGACCTAGACTGATTGTTGCCCTCATTCTCAACACGCGGGCAAGCGGCTGAGCGGACAAGGAAAGGATTATCTGTATTGTACGACTACATGGTGTAGAAATACTCGATTGAGCCTGCAACACACTGGCGTTTGGGGTGGGGAACTGGCGCAGGTCAAGAGAAGGCGCAGGCCACAGTGGCACTTTTGAAGCGATTGAGGCGGCCTGGGCAAGAAAGACAGCTGTTGGATCAGAGTTATATATATAGGCATTTGTGCATGGCGGCAGTTGGGGCGGGCAGAGCCCTGCATGTGAAGTAGCGGTATCATCAATTTGAAGGCCGGCAAGCACGCCGAGAAGCGCGTCGGGGGCGGCGTTTGTCGAGTTTAGTGTGAATGCGACGAGCCGTTGTTTGCAGCGTACCGTGGTTCATGCACATGCATGTCGGATGATTCAGGGCGGCTTACTGTAAGCCGCAAGACATCAGCTGCCAGCTAGGCCCGGATGCCGCCTACTGCTACCCCACAGCGGCTGGTGTTGGCAGAGCATACTCCCTCTCTCTCTCTGCGCATGGCTCGGATACATGTGTGTGCAAGTCCAGCCGCCAGGCCAGGGCGGCCGGGTCGGGTGGGCTGGGGCGAACAAAGGGATGCTGCCAGCGGGCAGGACGACTGGACCACAGCGGGCCGGCTTACTTACGCTCGCAGGCAGCCCGCCAGGGTTCGGCCGGCGAGTGTTGCATGTTCCCCACGCCCGGTGCGTCATCTTTTGCAGCAATGTGAATGCGCCTCGTCCTGGACCCCCGCTATCCTCCTGTCGCGCCTGCGCCCGCTCCCTCGTGCCCATCCTATCCCACCCCATCTCTCGCCAGCGCCCACCAAGGACGGCCCATGATTGTGCTCTGCCACCTGCCTGGCTGCTCTGCCTAACCCCAGGCCCGCCCTCCATCCACGCACACACTGCCATTGACCCGCCGCCGACTGCCCGTGTCTGCCATGTGGTGCCTCTGCCACTGAGCCCTGCCACAAGAACGGAACCCGCCTCTCCGCTCCCTAATTCCCTCATCCCTCGCTCCTGGCTGCCTCGCCCACCGCGGCCACGAGCCAGCTCCCCCCCATCGCCATGGCGACTGCCTTCAAAAATATGCTCCACCCGCTGCACCACCATCGCGACAAGAAAGAACCGCCCCATTCCGGCCCCCTGCACGACCGCACCGACTCCGCCATGGAAAAGCCGCGCGAACACGAGAAGCAGCAGTTGGCGCAGTGGGAGGCCCAGAAGCACACCCTCACCCCCGAGGAAATCGACATTGACCCCCAGAAGAAGCCCGTCGGCCACTCGTCAAAGGTGCTGCGAGAGGAAGACTTTGAGCTCATCAAGACGCTCGGAACCGGCACCTTTGCCCGCGTCTGGCTCGTGCGACTCAAGGACGCAAAGCCCGGCGACGAGAACAAGGTTTTTGCCTTGAAGATTCTACGCAAAGTGGACGGTATGCACGCCCCGCAACAAGTGACCACTGCGCTGCCGCTGACCGCCTCGTCTCAGTCATCCGTCTCAAGCAAGTCGAGCATGTGCGGAACGAGCGCAATGTCCTCGCAAAGGTCGCCGGCCACCCCTTCATAACAACCATGGTCGCCAGCTTCCAGTCGCTCGATTCGCTCTACATGGTAGTATGTAGTCGCACATACGAACAAGAGATGGCAATTGCTAACAATCAAACCAGCTCGACTACTGCCCTGGCGGCGAAGTCTTCAGTTATCTGCGAAGAGCACGGCGCTTCAACGAGCCTACTTCGCAGTTTTACGCTGCTGAGATTGTGCTAATATTGGAGTTTCTGCACGAGCGCGAGGGCGTGGCATATCGCGACCTAAAACCAGAGAATATCCTCATAGACGCAGAGGGTCATCTCAAATTGGTAGATTTTGGGTTTGCGAAAAAGGTGGACAACAGTACGTTACGTCATCAGTCGCATGTGGGGAGTGGAGACTGACAGCTCGCTCTAGGAGAGACGTACACACTTTGTGGTACGCCCGAGTACCTGGCTCCCGAGGTCATTCGTAATACAGGTACGATCTGCATCACACTTGCTATTGGTACCCCACTGACGGAATATCAGGCCATGGCACAGCAGTCGATTGGTGGGCATTTGGCATCCTTGTGTACGAATTCCTCGTTGGGCAACCGCCCTTCTGGGATCAGAATCCTATGAAGATCTACGAACAGTATGTTTCAAAACACAGGCCATAGCATGTTTGTGCTAATCTTTGGTAGAATTGTAGAAGGACGTGTCCGATTTCCATCTGCAATGTCACCCACGGCACGGGATCTTATTTCCGGCCTCTGCACCGTCGACACCTCTAAGCGTCTGGGAAATGTCGCTGGTGGTGCCCAACGTGTCAAGGACCACGAGTGGTTTAAAGACATTGACTGGCAGAAAATATATAACCGCGAAACCCAAGGTCCGATAGTACCTCATCTACGAGGTCCAGCTGACACGCGGAATTTTGACGAGTATGAGCCAGAGTCGGAAAACAGAGAACCTTACACCAAGGAATTGAGCGACAGGTGGGAAGAGAGTTTCAAGGACTTTTAGATCAGAGGTACAGAAGAGGGCGTGCCAAGAGGGAATTGGAAAGACACTCAGCATGCTAAGAGAAGAAAGGGGAAAGACAACTCAACGTGTGCTTTCTCAAGCTCAAGAATTTCTACAAGAAGAGCATGTCACGCAGGAGTAGAAGGTGGGTACAAGGACTACAATCTCCCGTCCCACCGGACTTGTCTCAAAAGTCCCGTAACTATACGAGCTTATCATCAAACAGTTGGTATCCATCGAAACGTTGAAAGGAAATAGGCGCATATTCAGGAAGGAAGGAATGGGTACGCGAGAGCTTCAAGCTCCATTATCATCATTACTATCATGTCTCTCTCATCTTTTCTCAATCATGAAAGGGGGGAGGGGGGACAACATCACACATACGTTACCAGGGGGACAATCCATAGAAGTTTTGTTCTAAATGGAAATAACCGTATTCTTCTGAAATCATTTCAATTGCGTTAGTACGATTGTATGTTAGCACTATCATTTTGTGCAAAAAAAAAATACAACAACAAGACCAAAGTCCAGCTATTTCACAGCAAGGTAGAAACGGAACTTTTTTTTTCTCTGTCATTCCTAACCTTTTTTCTTCCTACGCAAAAAAAAAACTCCCCTCATCTCACCTCCGCCTACCAACCCACGCAAACAACCCCCTTTTTTCCTTCTCCTCTTCTTCTTCCACGCCCCTCTGCACCATCTCTTCCTCTGCATCCCCACTTGTCTCAATCCCTGCAGTATACAAATCCGCCTCATCCAGTACCGGCGGGAAAAACGTAATCTCCTCGCTCCGCGTGCTGCCCCAGAGCGACTCTGCGCAGCGAAGTCGCACAAAACACGTGTCGCAGGTGCGGAGTTCGTGGGCGGAGGAGGGGTGGTGTGGGGGTAAGGGGGAGGTGCAGGAAGGGCAGCGGGGTGGGGGTGGGGTAGACGGGGAAGATGAGGATGGGGTTGGGGATGTGGACATTTTTGATGGGGAAAGTAGGTT